ACTGTCCATGGAGGGTCCACAAAGCCTGAGGATGTGGCACTTGAGGACACGGTTTAGAGGTGAATGCAGTGGTGGCTGACAGTGGATTTTGATGCTCCTGAAAGTCTTTTCCAACCTTAACAACTCTGTGATTCTCGATCCTACTGCTCTGGGGTTGAACTGCTCAGACCTTTCCTATTTTCCCTACCTGCCCTCTCCTCCTAAGGAACACGAATGAAACCCAAACTCCTGTGGCACTGGGAGAGTGCAGCTGGTGACTCCAGCCGGCAGGGAGGAGGAGGAGGAGGCCGGCGAAGGAGCAGGATGCTGGCAGAGAATTCCCAAACAATGCAAACCTACTGAACAAGCACCCCTGCCCACGAGCAGTGTCCTGTCCCCAGTGCCCACCACAGTGCTCACACACGGATTTATCCTCCCCCTTGGATGGCTCTGCTGCTGCCAAGGAAAGGGACAGAGGGTCAGAGGGCAGAAATGCTCGCAAGGACAGAAATGAAGAAGGGATTTCAACTCCAAGCTAATGGATGGGGTTCGGAGGCTGCTATTAGCAGAAATTATCGCTCTGTTAATGTACTTCAGGCAGCATTTTTTACAGTTGAATATGGTGTTATTTTCCTAGTTATCCATTCCCTGACAAGTGGTTATAATCAAAGCTGTCTGTGAGCACTATTATCAGAAACTTACTATTATGTGCTGGAGGAAAAAATATCACAGGACGCTGCAGTGCCAGAAACTATTGTAGGTTTTAAAGATCTACTGCCACACCAAGTATTTATTTATGTGCTGCTTTTACCTCCTGTGGAAGAAAATAATTTTAACTTAATTTTCTTGTCTCCCCCAACTAGTTTGGAAAATGCACCTCCCAAAGTAAGTCCATAATTATGATTAACAACACGGGCCAGATCCTCAGTTGCTGTAAATTAGCATTCCCCAATTCCTTGTAGTGGAGCAAAGCCAATTCCTTGCAACACAGAAAGCTTCCCGTGCCCTTGGCATGCTGCTTTACATCTTTAAGGGTATTACCAAACCTTCCTTAATGTGGCATTATACAGAATTTGCTCTGGCCAGAGCAAACTTTAAAAAAAAAAAAAAAAAAGGATGAATCTAGCATCATGGTTTTAAAAGTCTTTAAAATTATCTCGTAAACAAAATGAATTACTTCAATATATTCTGTTGATGAATTAAATCAACATAACTGCTGCTGCTCTGTCGTGTGATCTGGCTTCAGAGAACAACTTTATTTTCTTCTTAATTTTCAGGTTGGCCATATACTTGATAATATTACTGTAATTCTGGCACAGCTCTGTGGAGGAAGGAGCTCCAGTGAGACAGCACAGAAAGGAAGTAATTAACAAAAAATGTTTATATCTGTATAGTTGACTACAAAACACGAAGAAAAAAAATCCCCTACCACAGGGATTTTGAGGTTTAAGGATATGAATAGGCAATGAAAAATTCTGCACTTTTCATTTAATAAATCCTCAATAATGATCAGATTAATTTGAGCAGCTGAGTAATCATTTCTGAAAACATTCTCTGTTTTAGGCTGCTCTGCCATGCTCTCCATTCTGAAGTGCTGATGAAAATGATGGTCCAAGGCTGGGATTAGTGAAGAAAAATCCAGAATTCCTGAGGATCCACTGACAGACACATTACATCTGAAACAGGTATTATTTCTCTTCCCAGATCTCCCCTCCTCAGCTTCCCCTCTTTTTCATCTTCCACCTGGGAATTGAACAAACAGAGTCCAAAAAGGGTTTTGGAGCAATCCTAAATCAGGGATACTGTGAAGACAAATGGTAAATGTCTGTTACCCCAGCTGCTAAGTTAATTACTGTAATGGGAAACATCTTGACAGAAGCATTGCATATGGTTATTAGCAATTAACCCACCACTCCAAAAATCACAATTCTGCTAATAACAGAACAGAGCTCAGCCTTCCTAATTACAATCTCTGCACGAAAATTTCTTTATATCAGATTGGACTGTTAAAGCCTGTAACTAGCTACAATTTAAAAAGACTGGCAATGGAGATGCTGAGAATTAGACGGAAAAATGAAAATAGAACAGGATGGCGTGACACTGACTCAAAGTTTTGGGCAACACTCGTTCATGCTTGGGGATACACAACAACTGTCACAGCCTGTTTGCAGGAAATTACACATCAAAATTAAAATGCTAATGAGGGGGGAAATATGCTTTAAAGTGGAGAGGATGGGATGGAACATTGTGAGAGATACCAAATACCAAATCTTTTACAGAATTCGTGATCTGGACATTGTCGTAAATAATGCGCTGAATTTGGATTGCACTGGAATGTGACAGAACAATTTTCTGATCAACAGGAGAGGAGAATAATGCAATTTCCATCCCTTAGAAAGTCCTTCAGTACTATATGGAGGGCACGAGCTGTTTTCTTTTTCCCCTAACCACTTGTACTCCAGGCAATTGCATCCCATTATTACTGCACAAAGCCACCAAGGGGAATTGGCACTTTACCTGCTCAGCTCAAAAGCTGGTTTAGCTGAGCAAGATGAAATTTAATTTACTCCTTTTCCCAGCCAGGAAAAGGTTCACTCTGGTCAACTGTCCAGTGACTGCTTTGGTAATGGCCAGGGTGCTGTTTGTAGATGCTGAGGTCAAAGATGCAGAAGTTATAGAAAATAAATTTCAGGACAGCAGGAAGGTGCCTGGTTGGTCACAGCAAGGATGTGGAATATAAAGAAGTCACTAATGCTGTTCCCAGAGCCCTTTTTACCAGAGCCCAGTGTAAGAAGTGGAATAAATGAGTCAGCTTCTACCTCTGAGTCAGGTCTGAAGCTTTAACTGACTTGGGATCCCAGCAGATCAATTATCTCAGGAGGCTTTGAAACTCCTTCCACCAATGCTGCAACTCTGCCCATGGGAGTCATCCCATTAAAGTCAACAGCTCTGCAGGATATTCTCAATAAAACACAGCAGAGGAGAAAACATTGGATTTGTGAGAAGAACACTTTGCACTGGCTGGGTTGGCTTTGGAGCTCAGGACAATGCCAAGGTCACAGCAGCTAAAGCCTCCTCAGAAAGGAGGGATTTTTTACTCCAGGGTTTGGCTGCAGCTGCATTTTGCTGTGTGGCCCCCAGGCGAAGGTCTCATCTATTTAGTGGCCTTCACTCTGCATTTCAGAACCTCCCAGTCTGCATGTTGCTGGTCCTTTATTCCTAACAACTGGGTATAATAAATGTTGTGTATAGTTTGTAATGATCACACACAGCTTTGAAGAACAATGTTGAATAGTTACAGTTCCTTAAGATGGAAAAAATTAAAGTATTTTTTAAAGACTAATTTACCTCTCCTGGAAAAATCCCCAACAACTGAGGAATGAGATCTTTTGCTATTTTGCCATGATGTGATCCTGAAAATAATCCAGGTTGGGATGACATCACAGGACATAATGAACACTCAGCCTTGACATAATGAACATCTATTATTTTATGAAGAAAGATTTTCTGGGGTTTAAGAAATAAAATGATTAAAAACTATGTTCTCTGCGGGAGGTAATGAGATTAACTCAACACAAGGTCCTGTGGAGTTAAAACTACTCCAGACACAAGAAAGACTCAGCCATTCATTGGAAATTTCAGGGTACAATTACTCTGCTCTAAGGCCAGATAACAGCTGTGAGTTTTCTTCCCCATGAAAAAGAAATCAGTTGATAAAATCTCCAGGGGATCATGTCCATGCAAGCTTCAAAGCAATGAACAATATAAAACCAGTTTTTTTGTTATGAATGGTAAATGTTTACCTACTCCAGCGAAGGCCTTGGAAAATTAAAAACCATACAGGAAACCACTTGTAAAGTGTGTGGAAAATGAGAAGTGGGTGTATCGTGTTACAGGGCTGCGAGGGAGACAAATGAATGCTCTGTGAAGCAGAGGCTGACTGCTGGCTGGTGAGGATGCTGGTGCACCCACCCAGCTGTGCCTGTCACAGATTTGTGCAGGAGCTGCCTCAGAGCAAGGGGAGGCCAAGGGAAGGAATCGCAGATTTTAGCCCTGGCTGGCCCAGGGCCCATCTGCTGTTCACAGCCCAGGGCCTGGTTAGTCACAGCTCTCTGGAGAGAGGGAAGCCGTGCTGTAGCACACCTGGAGACCTGCATAAGATCATGAAACGCTTAAAGTGTGTTTTTCTCAATTTTTTATGTGCTACTATGCACAGTTCCCTTTCCAGGTCAGTTGGTCCCCCTTCTCTCAGCAGTAAGGGGAAAGAGTTGTGTTTTGACAGCAGTAAAGGTCTGGAGAGATCATAAAGATGAGAGGATGATCTGGAGGACGGCAGGCAGCCCTGGGATTTAGAAACCACTCCTGAGTTCCCAGTTTTATGTTCCTGCTGTCACTAACTCTCGGCAGCAGCGGTGTTATCCCTCTCTCAAGATGTTCAACGCGTTTATTTTCACTGTTACCTCTCGGAAGCGCTCAGACACGACTGCACTGGGCATCCTGCACAGAACAAAGAAGGGCCAGAGGAAATTAAGAGCAGCCAAGATCCGTGTCCGTCAGCATCCCGGCAGCGCAGGGAGAGCAGGGAGGGCGGCTGGAGACTGCACGGGCATGGAGAACATCCCTGCCCATCGCCTGCCGGAGCCGCTTCCCGCGGGATGCGGAGCAGGGGAAGCTCCCTTTGCAGGAGGAGCGCACCAGCGTTCCCGCGGGGAGCTCCTGGGACACAGGCACGGCTCGGCTCGGCTCGGCTCGGCTCGGCTCGGCTCGGCTCGGCTCGGCTCGGCTCGGCTCGGCTCGGCTCGGCACGGCTCGGCTCGGCACGGCTCGGCTCCGCTCTCCGCGCTGCGGGGCGGGCCCGGCGGGGCGGGGATGGGGCCGGGCTGGGGCCGCCCCGCCCGTGGCGCGGCTCTGCCGCCGCTTTAAATGATTTGGGGGCCGCGGCTGCTGCGGGGCATGTGAGTGTCTGTGCGGGGCTGTGGGAGTGTGTGAGTGTCTGTGCGGGGTATGGGAGTGTGCGGGGCTCTGTGAGTGAGTGTGCGGGCTATGTGTGTATGCGGGGCCGTATGCGAGTGCGAGTGTCTGTGTGGGGCCGTGTGAGTGCGTGGAGCTGTGTGTGCCGTGTGAGTGTGCGGGCTCGGCCGGGACACGCCGCCTGTGGGTGGCCCTGCCGGGAGGCTCCTGCTCCCCTCGGCTCCGGGGAAAGTTTGGGTGGGTTCGCCGCAACTCCGCGCATCCCCCAACCCGCTGGGCTGTCCTGGATGGGCTTGCGGGGCTCCGGGAGGGAACGCTGGGCTGGGCTTGGCTTTGCTGTGAGAGGTAAAGGCAGCTCCGGGGCTGCTCCTGCCTTTGCTATCAGCGTGGGGAGAGCAGCAGGACAGAGATCGGGGATCCGTGCGGGAAGGGCAGGGAGTGAGGAGCATCCTTCCATCCATCCATCCGTCCATCCTGCCGCGGCCGGAGCGCACAAAGAGCCGGGCCCGCACGTGTGCGGCTGCAGCGGCGCCGGGGAACTTTCTCCGAGGGGCTCTGCACGGTGCGAGCAGCAAACGCTCTTTGTTGTGAACGCGGTGCAATGTTTGTGTCCGGAGGTGGCTCTCTGGTCGGGGTCTAGAAGGGAGTAGCTGGTTGCATGCACGAAATCTGTGGTTAAAGTTTTAGCGTGTTGAAATTGAATGTTGATGGGAACTGTTTCCTGTGTACCTTTACTTTTTCTTGTGTGCCTTTCTCGTCTTGTGTTTTAAGGAATGTTGTACCCCCCTGCTCCCCCTCTCAAAGCAACCTGACAACAGCCTTTTCAAATATCTGTGTATAGCCTAATTTCTAACCTCTCTTGTCTTCCTGGGTTTTATCTTCATCAACTTCATGCCACTCTTTCATAATTAATGTCTTGTATTTGCTTTCAGTTTAGTTCTTTATTTTGTCTGAAAATTGAGATTTCCAAGCCTCTTGCTCACTGGCTTTCTATGCAATACATATTTACACAGCATTTACCAGAAGTGCTTTTAAGGTGGTTTATATTACTCCATTTTGCCGGAGCACAAAGTATCCATCACAGTGCTTAGAGAAGTTAAGCTCATTCTGTGGTAAAACATTTTCCTTTGTTGAAAGTGCTCTGTGTTCCTTTCAGGCATGCTTTGTGCTCTCTTTCTGAGCAATTACTCTATCAGGAGGAGGAATAGCATTGGCCTACATTAATCTGTTTGCATCTGACATCAGTAATAACTATGATTCTGCACTTTTGAGGCTGGAGGTGCTGTTAACTGTGAATTGCCTCCAAAGAATTTTTTGTTTGGTTTTACCTTTTTAAAGGCTGTGTCACTGACAGAGCAGAGGAGGCATTCCCTCCTGGAAGGGATGCTGTGTGAGGATGTTGCTGCTGGGCTGGAGTCAGTGGCAGCAGCAGTCAGGAGCAGCCACACAAACCCCCAGACTGTGTCAGAGCCTTCAGTGCTTTTCCCAACAGTCATAATTCTGAAATTACTGCCTTTCTTCCTGATTTTCCCAAGCTGGAGCAAGTATAAGTATTACTCCAAACTTTCTTGCTATTAAGGGACTTTGGTGTGAGCACAAATGCAAGATGTCACCACTCTTCAGGAGTGACTCTGCCAGCTTTCACCAAGAAACAGTGACATGTCCAGGAGGATTTTTGAAATGAATCCCCTTTTTCTAACAATTCTGGTTTGACTTTGGTCATCTGCAGTCAATGAAATCAGAACAGCAAATGCATCCCTTGGAACACACCATGCTGAGTGTGTTCTTTGCTGTTGTTTTGATTGAGATCTTATGTGGCTGAGGCTGCACACAGGATATTCTTCATAATTGTTTTTATTCTGTTGCTAACTTGAGCATTTGCTCCTAGCTAGGAATGGGAGGGATCTGTGGGGATGTTGGTGTTCTGCTTCCAAGCCCCCCTGAGGAGATTTAATGTAGAACAGATTAGAGAATGATGAGATATTTCTATCAACTGCTTTTCCATACAATTAGCCCTTGATGATCCTCTAATAGAACTTCAGAGAACTCTGGAATGACCAGAGAGCAGATATGCCATTTTCACTGTAAAGCATATTTGGGCCTTTAAATTAGGAATTGTCTTTAAATTAGGAATGTCTGATGATAAAAAGCACATTTTTGACACTTTGTAGTGAGCTCTCTAGCCCAAAACTGGGGTGTGTAAGACAATGCAAGTGTGATGTGTGGTTATCTAGAAATCAGGGGGAGCTGTGGGACAGGGCAGAAATGGGAACAAAGGAGGACTTGGGTTGCTGTCAGAAGTGGTAAATCCTCTCCTAAAGGGTAAATTCCCCTGGAGCTGGAGCAGTACAGCTGTGTGCTCGTAGTCAGGGGTGCAGGGCAGAGCAGAGGCAGTGGAGGTGTGAGCTGTGTGCTGGGAACCCCCTTTGTGCAATAAATATCACCTTTCAGAGTTGGGACAGGGCTCAGGAATGGACTCCTCTGTTCCCAGGGGAGGTGGGTGAGGATTTCCTTGCCAAAGGCAGGAGATCAGTTTGGTTCTGTCAGCATTAAACCCCTTGACTTGCTCTGTGGCTCTGCAGGTCCAGGATGACATCTGAAGGGGCTGCTCTGCTTTTGGAGGATCCAGTCTCAATCTTGCAATAAAACTGTTTTTCTTTACTCACACGTTGTATCTGCATATTTTCACTTTATCCACGAGCAGTCTGGTCGCATTCCAAGGAACACCTGGATGTGGATTCCTGGCTGAGTTGCTGTTTTCCAGCTCCTCCAATTCTTTGGGGCAGTATCAGCTTTCTTGTGCTCCTCCTGATAAATCACGTTCCCAAAAGGAAATTCTAGCATCCGCATGTTATCTGCATCTGCAAACCTCGAGTAAACCTGGCCCTTCAGCTGCTCCAGCTGTTGGGTGCAGTGACACAGGGCTGGTTTTGCACCACTGCAAACAGATGTGCCTGTGGACACTTTCTTCAAGTTACATAAATAAAAATTCCTTTTAAGGTATCATTAAAAAAGGCAAAGTCCACTATTTTCCACATTCCATGTTGTGCAAAGTGTTTCCATATGAGGGGATGCCTCTGAGTTGTGATTGTTGCAGCAGAACAAATTGCATGTCAATTTGAATATTTGGAATGCAGCGCAGAAAACAAAACGAGAAATGTTTCCATAAAGTATACAGAGATAAACCTGGAGCCTGGAATTTGGTTATAATACTGTCCAAATGATGTGAAAAGTAGATTGTGTAATCATTTCTTGGTGAGAAAATGTCTCAATGTATTGGCTGTTTAGCCAATATGCTTTATTTTCACCTCCAGTGATGTCAATTTGCAGGTGTGAGGAAAGCTTGTCTTCCTGGCATTAAATAAGGGCTTAAAGTAGGTTTCCTTTTTTGAGCTGAGCTGAATAATGTAGTGGAATCCCCTTGACTTCTTTGGATGGGTTATCTTACACTTGAAGGTTTTGCAGTTAAAATTTGCAAGCTTTTCTGGTGAAAGTAAGGTTTGCTAGTGGTGTATTCAAATGTGTACCATAGTTTAATTTTGTATTAAATTTTTACATCAAGTGAGATTAAGTATTTCTCTTTAAACCTTGGTTGAAGTGATGCTGGCACCTGAGAGAGTCATTGGCAAATTTTGATTTTAGGCTGAATTTTACCTAACTTGTCTTCAGCTGAAACCTGAAGCCCTTCTTCCCATTCCTGTCTGCTCAGACTCCATAGGGTTGCAGTAAAATCAGCCTTTGAGGCTTGGATAATGTGATTTTAGCAAGCATGGTATAAAATTCCTGGTGGTTTCACCCCCTATTTCCCCAACCCTTGAATCTGCCATTGAAAACTGAGATGTTTCTGATCTTTGTGAAGATCACACTGAACAGAAATAGTTTTTTTTCAGCCTGTGCACTACAGGCTGCTGCCAGCAGATAGAGCTCATGCTGGTCAGCACTGCAGCACAGAATCCATTCCTCAGGACTTTGCACTTCAAGCTTCTGTTTCACAGCTCCTGGAGGAATATTAATTTCGAATTTAGTCTTTTAACAGATGGCAAAGCGCTCTTTTCCTCGTTTTCTGCCCCAGTGTATTCACTGTCAGGAGACTTGAGGATAATGAATGAGTGTCATGGTGGTACTGTGCTTTTCCTGATTTATGACGTTTTCCTGCTCTTCAGGAGAAAAATGAGATCAAGACTTTCTCCTCAACTCTGAAATAGCTGTAAGACAGCACAGTAAAATCTGATAGCCTGAAGTTGTTATATTTACCAAAGATGAACTCAAACTGTAAATATTTTCCAGTTTTAGAAACTCCTGGGTTTGAAACAGAGACATCATAAAATGGTTTTAAGTCTCACAAGAGGTTTAGAAAATTCCTGCTCATAATTACAGTAGCTTACATGTACTGTATGATTCTTAAACTGCACATTTAAGGTAAAAAAGTAAAGGGGAATGCCCCTTCACTTCTAATGGGATTGGACTTCTCACATTACTCTCCAGAAATATACCCTAAGAGGAAAAAGCTTGTCAGGTTTCTTTAGGTGTAATTGTTATGGAATGTTGCAATAGTTTAGTTATTTATGCAGTAGTTTAATGTGCTTGAAATGTGTTTTTGCAGTATTTCTTGAGAAAATTGCCTGGTGTTTGCTTTGACTTTTCTTCTGCATTGTTCTGCTCTTCCTGGTTGTAGGCATGCCATGATCTAGGTATGACAGGCTGTGGAATATTTTTAATAAATTTGAAGAAACCCCCTGGTGAGGAGGGATGAGATTATCTGTGGTGGCAGACCTGGTCTCCAGGTGACTTTTTAGCAGAACTTTGATGGCAGTGACACTTTTGGCTCCCAGGGGGTTAACAGCCCATATTGCAGACTTGTGTTATTCACCAATTAAATACCTTCTCTCTTTGAACACAGTTAATAGATTTCCTTCCTCTGAAATCCAAGCCTGTTATTGCTTACATTCCCTTCTCAAATCTATTGCTTTTAATTTATTTCTGAGCAGAAAGAAATTTCCTTTCATTACTGCGAAATCAAAGCATTTGAAAATGATGTACTGAACATATGCAGCTTGTGCTTTGGGTTCCAGCTTCCAGCCTTGCTTTAAAACTAATAATTAATTGTTCCAGAGGGGAACTTGATATTTCTGCCTTTGCTGGGAGATGGTGAGGGCTGTGATGTGTGCCCTGAGCTCCATCTCAGTGCCTTTCACCTGGGGATGAATATTTGTGTGTGGAAAGGGGAGTGTTGTTCAAGTCAGAGTGCTGACACTTCTTTTGTGATCTCTAGTAGAAACACCTTGCTGTCTTCCCTTTGTAAGTCACAGCAGAGCTTGGTACAAAATCTTGTTTAGAAGAGAATGCCATGCCCAGACCATGTTTTATGTACATGACCTAATTCAATATTGAAAATTTAGCATAATGTCTCAAGGTGTGCCTGATAATAGGCTTTATAGAGTGCTCTGCACTGTTTTTTAATGAAGAAATCCCCATAAATTATGGAACAATTGGGTATTTTGGGCCTGGTCTTTAGGTTGTTATATTCCTCTATATAAAATGAGTTTTTATGCATCTCAGCCC